TCTCTTGTTCAGATTATCATACTGGGGCCTTGGGACTTACGATATCAAGCTCATTATGCAAAGGGACATTCTGTGTGCCATTGTTCTAGAGGGCATGAAAACAGAATTACAGAGACTCAATTCTTGCCCTCTAATGTTAGAATCTGTCCATCCTTTCTCTTGTTCTTGTAATTTGACATTGGCTTAAACAATACATGTTATAAAGGCTCGGTTGCTGCATGTAATGTTGAACCTACTGGGCTTATTACACAATGAGTAAACTTAAGAAGGAAGGTATTTTATTTATAGCACCACTGTATCACAATTTAATTTCCTCTTTACCATGGCAACAAGGCAGCATGTACCAATTCTGCACTGGTGGAATCTCACCAGTAAAACATATTTAGAATCCTGCTTTGGGGGGAAGGGTAACTGATAAACTACCTAAAAGCAATACAAATTCTTGACTAAAAATTCCAGTCAGACAGATTATGTGATCTGCCAAGAAAAGAAGGGGGTGGAATACCTGGCTGGATTCAGCCGGGGGAAGGGGGGTGCTTGTTGTTTTTGCAGACCTCACTGTAAGCCAGGTGTTTCTCAGTGTAATCGGGAGGCTCGCCTCTTTGAGTTAATACCCAAAGTACCATGACAGCCACACGTGGCATTTTCCTTCTCACCAGCATCTCCCAAGGCAAGCAAGGCTCTGCCTGCTCAGTGTGGGGTCCCTGTCTGATCACTTGGGGGTTGGAGATTGTTGCATTTATAACTCTACAGCTGACCCTTGAACAACATGGGTTTGAACTCCACCATCCACTTATGCGTGGATATTTTTCAACAAATATTTGTACTGCTTTTGATCAGCAGTTGGGAGTCTGGATGTGGAGGGCCGAGCATGTGCACTGGTCCACCATTTTATACAGGGGGCCCAGCATCAGCTAGTTCTGGCATCCCTGGGGGTCCTGAAACCAACCCCATCCCCCACTGATACTGAGGGACAACTTCAGTTTTGAGGGAGATAAAAGTTATACACAGATTTTCCAAGGGTCAGCGCTACTATCCCCTCACTGCGTTGTTCAAGGGTCAACCATCCTTCTTTTTCATCCTACTCTAATAAAATCTTGAATAGCTTCGAGTCGAGGAAAGAAAACTGCCTGCTGCATAAAGTGACACTAGTGTGGTGTCAGCTCCTTGCAGAGCATGTTATCTGAGTGCCAGCTGAATTTTCCTACCTCACAAAGATTCTGTCAAGCAATATCATATGTGTCTACAATCTATTACATCAACCAGACATACTGCACAGGATCACTCATTGGCTTGAAATCAGCCCGAATGTGCACCTGAAGTCCCACGTGAGTGGCATTTTACTAGTATTATGAGCAGCCCTCGATTCCTAATTAGTTTATCCAAGTTTTCCAATCCTAAGAATTCCATGTCCTCTGGATCCTAGATTATATGTAACGTTTGTATAGAAGGTGCCGTTGCAAGAAGGCCTAAGAAAGAAAATGCTTAAGTTATAGCTAATGAATGGCTACAATGTTATTTGGAACTTTGGGGTCTATCTGGAAGGTTACTTCATGTAGCTGCTTCAATGACACATCCTTATTGGTTTATTTCCAGCCAGTGGGGAACTTGCCCCATGTTTGATATGGGAGATGCTCCTGTTATATGCAGCACCAAGGGGCCAACTGGAGTGTGAAGAGATGAGCAAATCCTGCACCCACTATGAGTAGGTCCAGATTGGGGTGCTAGGCTTACAGCCTTTTTAAACTATCAATTAAAACTGAGGTCATTTCTTTCAAGTACAGTTATATAATTTTTCTGTGGTAGTGCCAAGTGAAAAGCTTAAAGACAAAAGCATCTCTGATTCACCCACACTGAAGAATTTAAAGAAAAACAAAGAGATTGGAATAGAACTATTGAGAAATCAAAATATCAAGTCATTAGCCTTTAATGCTTGGGTTTACAAAACGTGATAATTTTTCAAAACTAGATTTTCCATAAGACAGAACTTGTTCCTGAATATACAGTACAACTCTGAGGACTGAGAAGGAAAGAGACAGAATCGGATCCTACCGTCATGGGAAGATATGCCAGGGCAGAGAGTCCCGTTGGTCTACCTGGCATCACGTGAACATGGTAGAGGTTTTTCCATGTAGCTCATGTTTCTCTAAGTAGGAAAGAATTGTTTTTTATGTTAATGAGTTTTAATGGCAATCTTTTAAAAAACATTTGCTTCTCTGCCTCTTTAAACAAAATGGTAGCTATCATTAATAGAAATGTGCTGCAATAGCATGATACCTTCAGGGACTACTGAAATGTGCTGGCCCCTTTTACTCTGGGCCCCAGAGTGATGCTTTTGTGAATCTGATCCACTAGCTGTGAGAATTCAAGGCCGAATTGACAGTTGCCTGGAAAAAAACAGTTAGCAATGTGGTTATAGCAGTAAACTTACTATATATAATACCAAACTAGTACATTCAGCTCCAAATACATCTTCACAATTGATCTATGTGTTAACATACAGATATGTGTATATACATACTAGAGGCCCGGTGCATGGATTCATGCATTGGTGGGGTCCCTCAGCCTGGCCTGCGGGGATCAGCTGAAACCGGCTCTCCGACATCCCCTGAGGGGTCACAGATTGTGAGAGGGTGGTTCTTGGGTGATACACCCTGGAATCGGGCTCCCTCCTCTCTGGGTCTGGGGTGCAGGTGAAGCAGATTCGGGGCCGACAGTGCCCCAGCAGCAACCTAACCCACGGCCGATTCTGCGAGGAATCGGGCACTCTCTTCTACTGGTTGGAGCATCTGCCCCCTGGTGGTCATTGCACGTCATAGCTAACAGGCGAATGGTCCAATGGTCGGATGGTCGCTTAGGCTTTTATATATATAGATGAGTGTGTGTGTGTGTGTGTGTGTGTGTGTGTGTGTGTGTGTTTGGGTTCACCTCATTTCCCAGAAGTTTGTTCTGTAGTCAAAATATTATGGCATCATCCTATACACCAAAAGGTGGTGGGTTCGACTATCCTATACAGTGGGGGCTTGACTTATGAGTTTAATTCGTTCCGTGACGGAGCTCGTAACTCAAATTACTCGTATGTCAAATCTTAAAGTGAACGAGTGAGACACATGATGCTGGGCTGATGTTGTGGCGTTCACTGTGACGTTCGCTGCGCCAACTAGCGGTGGGGTATCCGAAACTGGCTCGTAACCCAAATTTTAGCTTGCAACTCAAAGCAAAAAATCGGCTGAGAGACAGCTCGTATCTCGAAAAACTCGTTAGTCGGGACACTCATAAGTCAAGGCCCCACTGTATAATAAAAGCCTAATATGCAAATCCACAGAACAGCAGAATGACTGGTGGAATGACTGGTCGCTATGATGCGCACTGACCACCAGGGGGAAGATGCTCAATGCAGGAGCTGTCCCCAGCCCGCGGGCCCCAGGCCAGCCAAGGTGGGTGCCTATGCCCTCTCTTCCCCAGTCGCCCTGCAGGTCGTCCCACAGATCAGCCCTAATCATCAGCCAGCCCTAATCATCGGCCAGGCCTAGGGACCCTACCCATGCACAAATTTTGTGCATAGGGCCACTAGCATATACTATATATATATATATAGAGAGAGAGAGAGGGGGGGGGAGAGAGAGAGAGAGAGAGATCCTCGGGTAGGATTCAAAAAGTATATTCTATATTTCTATATCCTAAATAATATTTTCCCCATATTCTAAATGGTTAATGTTGCTTGAAGTCTGACCACCTGCTGAATGCAGTCTGTCATACTTTCAGAACAGGAGTCATTACACTAGTCGGTAAAGACAAATGGGAGTTCTCTTGTTCCACCCTCCATCTATATTTCAGTTTATCTTTGTGCTCTCTACCTCACTTCAAAACCAGACTAAGGTGTTTCCACCTCCTCCATGAGGCCGCCCTCAAACATCTATATATATAAAATCCTAACATGCAAATAGACCAAAGGGAGGAACAACTGAACAACCAAACAGCCAGTCACTATGATGTGCGTTGACCACCAGGGGCACACGTGGAACATGGCAGGCATCGGCGGTAGGAAGGAGAGCGTGGAACATGGCAGGCACTGGCTATGGCAGGATAGTGGAGCAGGTGAGCAGGGGTGCCAGACCAAGGTGGGGCACCAATCGTGTCATCAGGGCAAGCCTCTGGTGGTTACTGAAAATTCTTTGCTCCCGCGCGCCACGGTCCCGCCGGGCGCCCACACCTGCTGCCAGCACCAGCCCTGCTCGCACCTGCTGCTGGTGCCCAGTGCTGGCTCCAATCACCCCTGAGGGCTTCTCTACCTCCCCCTACTCCTGAGGGGCAATTGGGCAGCAGCTGCTGCTTGCACCCACTGCTGGCGCCAGCCCCAATCACTTTACGCCATCAGCGTGTGGGAATGGTGGTGGTGGGAGCAGGGCTGTGGGCAGACAGGGGACCGGGGGCACGGAGGATGGGCCAAGACCCACCCCTGTGCCCATGGCAGGTGCACAGCAATGTGCACAAATTCGTGCACTGGGCCCCTAGGGTTTTTTTTGTTTGTTTTTGTTTTGTTTTTAATATATTTTATTGATTTTCCACAGAGAGGAAGGGAGAGGGATAGAGAGTTAGAAACATCCATGAGAGAGAAACATCGATCAGCTGCCTCCTGCACACCCCCCTACTGGGGATGTGCCCGCAACCAAGGTACATGCCCTTGACCGGAATCGAACCTGGGACCTTTCAGTCTGCAGGCCAATGCTCTATCCACTGAGCCAAACCAGTTACGGCGGACCCCTAGTTTTAAAATAAAATCCATTGAGAGAAAAACAGCATGATTGGCAAAAGGCACCATTCATCAATGTAAATTCATTCACAAAGCTTTGTTTCCAGTCTTCCTCCTGCAAAGTGCTTCTTGGCTACCAGTGCAGCTCGGTGTCTCAGAGCTGCTTTTTTATTAAGAGGCTGTATCAGCATCGGCCACAAAGTCGGCAAAAGCTATTTATTCATCTGCATGTGCTTCCCCCTCCCAGGTGGGCAGCATGCTGAAGACTCCCAAATTCCCCATTTGGCTGTGCAACATCAATGGAAGCTACAGTGTCCTTTTTAGCACAAACAGGCAGCTCCTAGCAGACTGGAAAGCGGAGCAGCGGTTTGATCTGCACTTGTATGGTGGGCAGCCTTTCCAGAAAAAGCCTGCCCGTCTTACAGTTGGTGAGCATTTCCGACTCCGTGGGCCGTGTGCTTTAATGGGCTCAAAGAGACATTTAACAGGTGTGGATATTCATGCTAAGTCTGCAAGCGAATGCTTAGGCTTGATATCTGAAAGGAAACCCTGCGTGAGCCCCATGGGCCTAAACCTCACACTGTAACCTGGGAATTCTAAGCTAGCTGTAAGTAGAGCAGGGGCTTAGAAGAAGCACAGAGGCACAAATAACTTATAGGTTAGAGAAAAACAAAAGGTGGAGTCAAATTTCCAAAAAGCCTTCTCCAAGGTCGTTTGTCTTTGAGCCTGTGGCATTTCATGCCTGAGGAAAGAACCGCTAAAACAATTGGGAGGAGAGGGTTCTCACTGGCCAATGCTATCCCATGACCCAACATCAGATGCGCATCCAGTGACATAAATAACCAATCTGATGGTGCATTTCTGTTCAGATTAGTTCACAAAGCCTTTATGAGAGCCTACTAAGTGCCAGGCACTGTGCTAAACACCAGGAAAGCAAGAAGACTAAGGTACAGTCCTGCAAACATCAGGAGGTTCTAGTCCAATGGAACAAGCAGACAACCACATGGGTCACCTCACTGCAATTTCAACCATCTTTTTTTTTTAACTCATGAGAAAAAGACTAACCTTAAGATGGCTTTAAACACTGACCCTTTGGACAAGGGAATAAAAGTGATGAGAATGGTGTCTGTCGATTTCATCTCTGACTCTTTGGGCATCACAGGCCTGTTATTAAGACTAAATCTGGAGAAGTATCTTAGTGACTGGCTTATCTGTGCAGCTACTGATTCTTTTTATTTAAATCTGAGAAATATATATTAACCTATTTAATTTAGTGGGGTATGGACAATATGTTCCTTAAAATATATTATCATTTCTACTTTACTGTCTTCTTTGAGGAAAGCATCATTTTTTATTAGCTCACATGCATGGCAAGCGTTCTGTTCTGGGCACTGTGTTGAAAGCTTTGCATACATTATCCCATTAAATTCTCCCAACAGTCATATGAGGTAGATACCATGATATCTATTTTTACATGGAGGAAACGGAGGTGGCCAATAGTTACTAATTGACTAAAGGAAGCTGAGAGATGTTCAGTGCCTTCTCAAATGTTGCATGAAACAAATCTGGGCCTTGAACCCAGTTCTTGATTACCTTACCAGAATCAAGAATCATTTTGCTCTTCACCCAAAATTTCACAGAAGCATTGAAGAGGCGATAGCACTCCACTTTTCCTGATAACATCCGGTGACCTACACCTTGCTCTAGGTGAGATCATGGTGTTGCCACGTTCATTACATGACTTGTCAATATTCATGTTCCAAAATACAAAACAACCCAGTTTTTCTACGTACCATCCCCCTCTGCTTACTGGTTCTAGGAACACACACGCTGAGCCTGACTCCTGCTCACCCATCCTGTTTGCCTTCCTTCCTGGCTTCCTCTGGAATGGTGTGCATAGGCTGGGGTCTAAGTGCTGGCTGTTCCTCCCTCAGATACTCACTCGCATCCCTGGGAAAGTGACCAACGTGAGGAGGAACATGGACCAGGAAGACGGTTTTCTCCAGTGGAGATGGCAATCAGAACCAAGTGGAGAGAAGCCACCATTAACTGGAATGGAACTGTTCCCTTTTTCTAAAGAGAAAGCCAGGATGTGCAATGAAGTGTCAGAATGATGGGATACAAAGATCAACTTGGGGGGAGATCATTTCACATCTACATTGCCCACAGAAAAACCCCATTATATTTTGGGACACTCTGTGTTAAGCCCTCTGCAGTTGTAGGAGAAACATGGGCCCTTACTGCAGGGTCTGGGAGCTGTATCCTCTATGCACATGTAGACTACTTCTTTTATTTTATTCAAAAGAAAAATGAAGTCTATTTCCTGCATGCTATTTCCAAATTGTCCTTTCTTGGTGTGATTCTGCCCGAGGATGACAGGGCGGGAGGCTAGCTTTCACTCGGGATGAAGTCATTGGGAATGCATCAAACTTTTAGTCCTGGCAAGAACTCAAGCTTCTCAAAGACCTCCCGGTGTGGAGAGCATGCCTTTCCAAGGTTACATTCCATGTGCCCACTTTAGCAAGTTCTTGTCATTAAAATAATAAATGGGCTTCTTCGGGCTTGATGTGGGTGCTATTCCTGGTGGGCTGGCGTGCATCGCAGTGAACTTGTGGGTGCAAATAGTCATGGCAAGCACACAGAAGGAGACAACCTTTCAGTGGTGTTTGTTTCTTTTCTTTATAAGCTGGGTATAGATACGTAGACAGACAAACAGAAAGAAATCTGGTTCCTAGATAAAATTAAATTATATATAAAAATAAAATCTCTCCTTATGTCATTTTTTGTCTCTGTTAAGCCCTCTGCAGCTGCTTTCAGTGCTTAGAGGAAACAACTCTTTTGAGAATCTGATCTTCCCCTGTCCTGTTGAATGCCTACATTTTTCCTGAAGAAATACACAGAGTAAGACATACTCTTTCTAAAGGAGCACATAGGAACCGCCTACACCTTTTCCTACCCACCCCACTGGTCTGCCAACTCACACACAAGCCAAAGGTTAGTTTGTAAAGAACAACTTTTCTGCACATATTTTCCAAGTTAATTTGTTAATGCATTTTCATTTGGTTAAAAGAAAAATGTTTTAACTTAGGGAGCATGCAGAAAATGAAACTTCAAGGCGAGTAATAAATTATGTCAAAAGAGAAAGCCAATTTGGCGTGGATTGCTGATTACAACATCTGTATCATGGGTATTTTCATTCAGGATTTTAAATACATCGGGCAAAAGAATGAGTCCCTACAGACCCCTATCTCATTTGGTCTTAATTTAGCAATATTGTGTTTTCCCTGTGCAGCCTGTTTTTGTTTTAGGAACACGGAGTTATCTCTAACAAAATGTCCCTTTTGGAGTGGACTGCTGGAAAGCTATTGCCAAATGAGAACCCTAGCAAGCGCCCAGCCACTGATAAGAGATCTCACTACAAGCGTCTCACACAGCCAGGACATTCCTTTCTAGCAAGAATGGTCCAGCAAGGGGTCCATGACTCTTACACCAGTCACAGCTCACCCTCTAGGACTGAGCACAGGACCCTTGGTTCCTGTAGAAGGAAGGGCAGGGTGATGGTTGTGTAGACCCCAGCATAGCAGTGTTACTTCTTACAAAAGGCATTTTTAATTGACCTAGTTTCTGAATTTATTTTTCTGTTCCTAGTATATTTTGTCTTTGAATTTTAATTTATTTATAATATATATTATTTTGCCATATTTTATAGGTTGTTGTACTCTATCGTAAATTGTTCTTGGAACAAATCTTTAAGTAAAATAATACAGCAAAGATTAAATATTTATGTTTTGTACATAAAGGTATAATAATTTCTATACATAAAGGTATTAATAACTTTATATGTCAATATTCAGTAAAAATAAGTTTTTATTTTATATTATAAACAGGGCACCCAGTAATAATTGAAATGTTTTTAAGGTAAAAAGTTATTTATTTATTTATTTAAATTAAATCTTTATTGTTCAGACTATTACAGTTGTTCCTCTTTTTTACCCCCATAGCTCCCCTCCACCAGGTTCCCACCCCATCTTCTGCCCTTACCCACCCCCCACTGTCCTCATCCATAGGTGTACGATTTTTGTCCAGTCTCTTCCTGAACCCCCCACACCCCTCCCCCCGAGAATTGTCAGTCCACTCCCTTTCTATGCCCCTGATTCTATTATATTCACCAGTTTATTCTGTTCATCAGATTTTTTATTCACTTGATTTTTAGATTCACTTGTTGATAGATATGTATTTGTTGTTCATAATTTTTATCTTTACCTTTTTCTTCTTCTTCCTCTTCTTAAAGGATACCTTTCAGCATTTCATATAATACTGGTTTGGGGGTGATGAACTCCTTTAGCTTTTTCTTATCTGTGAAGCTCTTTATCTGACCTTCAATTCTGAATGATAGCTTTGCTGGGTAAAGTAATCTTGGTTGTAGGTTCTTGCTAATCATCACTTTGATATTTCTTGCCACTCCCTTCTGGCCTGCATAGTTTCTGTTGAGAAATCAGCTGACAATCTTATGGGTACTCCCTTGTAGGTAACAAACTGTTTTTCTCTTGCTGCTTTTAAGATTCTCTCTTTGTCTTTTGCTCTTGGCATTTTAATTATGATGTGTCTTGGTGTAGTCCTCTTTGGATTCCTTTTGTTTGGGGTTCTCTGTGCTTCCTGGACTTGTAAGTCTATTTCTTTCACCAGGTAGAAGAAGTTTTCTGTCATGATTTCTTCTAATAGGTTTTCAATATCTTGCTCTCTCTCTTCTTCTGGCACCCCCATAATTCGGATGTTGGTACGCTTGAAGTTGTCCCAGAGGCTCCTTACACTATCTTCATATTTTTGGATTCTTTTTGCTTTTTGCTTTTCCTGTTGGGTGTTTTTTAATTCTTTGTATTTCAAATCTTTCACTTGATTCTTGGGATCCTCTAGTCTACTGTTGGATCTCTGTATAATATTCTTTATTTCAGTCAGTGTATGCTTAATTTCTAGTTGGTCCTTTTTCATATCCTCGAGGGTCTCACTAGATTTATTAAGGGTCTCACTAAACTTATTGGCGGTTTCTAGAAAATTCTTGAAAAACCTTATAACCATAGTTTTGAACTCTATATCCAGTAGTTTGCTTTCCTCCATTTCTGTCATTTGTGTCCTGTTTCTTTGTCTTCACATTTTTTATGCTTCCCTGTGTTGATAGGGTGGCTTTCTGTGCTAGCTCAGCCTCCGCAATTACCTGAGGTGGACACTCTTGGTGCACCCCTTTGTGGGCTTTGTGCACAGTCTTGTTGTAGTTAAGCCTTGATTGTAGTTGGTATCACTGGGAGGAATTGACCTCCAGGCCAATTGGCTGAGAATCAGCTGTGTCTACAGTGGGAGAACTTCTGTGCTGGAGACACCCTTATGGGGCAAGACTTGCTTCAGTGGGGCTTTGGTGCTCACTGAGTCTGCCTCCTGAGTGTGTCCCTTATGGATCTGAGGAGTTGTAATCTGGATGGTTCCACTCTGACCACTGGGTACACTGACTCTTGAATCTCTAAGGAGTTGCTAATTTAGCCTCTTCCTGAGGCTACCGAGCAGGAGCTATGGAGAGATCTGCAGATTCCTCTTCCTTGTTTGGGGTTGGAGGTGCCCAGATGAGCCCAGCTGTAAACAATGCAAGCTGCTGTGGGGCCTTGGGCCTTCATTTGGAAGTTCTGGGTCTCTCTGACCCAGCTGCAGTTTGTTAGGTAATTTTAGATTGCAAAGGGCCAGGTCATTCATATGCAAAAGCCCCTGCGCACAGCTTGGGTGGGGTGGGGTCTCAGGGAATCAACAGGGAAGAGCAAACAGCTATGGCTGATCCTCAGCCCTGCCCTAAGGGGCCCCAGGTCTCAGTGTCCCGGCGGTAATCGCTGCAAGCACCTCTGAGAGAAAGCCACCCTCAAGTTCCACCCGATGCCAGACAGTCCAGTTTCTCCCCATATGAGTCTGGGTCCCCAGAGACTGGCCTGGAACTGGAGTTCAGAGCAGTTGGGAGCTTGTGTCTCCCTCTCGATTGAAAAAGACAACCGTATCCTCAGTTGCCAGCCCTTTCCCTGCACACCTCCGTACCTCTGCACTTTACTTCCGCACCTCCTCTGAGTCTCAGTGTGCTTTTCTCTTTCCTTCTAGTTGTAGAATTTCCACTCAGCCAGCCTTCCTGTGGTTCTGGATGATGTCCGTTTTGTCTTTTAGTTTTATTTTTTTAAAATATATTTTATTGATTTTCCACAGAGAGGAAGGGAGAGGGACAGAGAGTTAGTAGCATCAATGAGAGAGAAACATCAATCAGATGCCTCCTGCACACCCCCCACTGGGGATGTGCCGGCAACCAAGGCACATGCCCTTGACTGGAATTGAACCTGGGATCCTTCAGTCCGCAGGCCAACGCTCCATCCACTGAGCCAAACCGGTTAGGGCTTAGTTGTATTTTTGAAGTGGTTGTGCGCAGCAGCAATTTCAGGTGTTTACCTATGCCGCCATCTTGGATTCTCCCAGTAATAAATTATTTAAAAGTAGCTAGAAATTTCCTGGGACCATCAGTTTACCTTTGAACTTTCTGTGTTTTGAGAAAAATGACTAATTGTCCTTTCAGCTTCTCAAACATGGAGCAGGCGAAAGCCATTTGCTTGAAGATGAGGATCATGATTTTTCTGAATAGTTACCTAAACTGACTGTGTCTTTAGTGGGACTGAGCCCTGAAGGAGATGGCAAACGCTTTTCTTTTTCTCAAATATTGAGTTGGACTTGAATGTCCCTCAAAATCATTGTTTGTTCTTAAAGAAGATGCATGTAACATTTTTCCAAATGTGCAGGCCTGCGATCCTCTTCACCTAGCACTGGTTGGTTTGGCTTCGTGCTGTACAGGTTTATGTGCAAACTTCAGTCACACCTGGACCTGATTTTATTTTTAAGTGAGTAACAAACTAGGGACATTGTTAACTGTTGTAAATGCCTTGTCAGGGCCCTAGACTGACACAACTGTTCATTCATTGGGGAAACTTTTTAAACTTCCCCTATGTGCCAGGTGGAGGCAGGAGAAACAGTGAGCAAAGCCAGCTGTGGCCCCTCCTCTCTCAC